TTGATGAACGTAGAATCTTGACACCATTCGAGCAACTTTTGGTCTTGGTGTGATACACGTAAAAGTTTCACATAATTGAAGACAAATTTAAGTTTCAAGAACAAAGTACATAATTTTAATTTCTTCAATTTTATCATTGTAGAGTATATTTTAAATTTAGAACACTCATTCTTTTCCTTTATAAAATTTGCCTGTCGGCTGTGGGTGCATACCAAAAATTAAAAAAAGAAAAGAATAAAGGTGTCGGGGTTAAATTTGTCATTTAAATTTTCTCCTTACTTATTCTCAAAGTAAAAACTCAAAAAGAAAACCATACGTCTCATCTGTGCTCCTTTATTTATTTGCTCTTGCACTTTGTTAAACTTTGGTTAAGAATGTCTCTTAAGGAAAAGCTTTTGTTGTCAGATTCATGTTTTGTTTTTTTAGCTTGCTAACCATGCAAGTTCAGTACAGCATCTAGCATCTGGTTGCTTTCAGTGTATCCCACTACTTCACTCTAGTTCTTAACTAAAGATATCGAAACAGAGCAAAATTTCAAGTTTACACAGAATCCCCCGAGTGAGCCATGAAGTGCCTCTTATAAAAGCACCGGTTTGCATCCACAAGACAAGAGCAGCAATATTTTCTTAGCCAGAAAACATGTTTAAGTCATGGAGCAAGAAAAACAAGACTAAAGCTGTATTCAAACTACAATTTCAGGCAACTCAGGTAACATGAAGACAAATAAATATTTTTCCATTAAACACTAAATGACAAAATGAGGTTTGTGCTGGTAGTTACAGAGTTACAATTGAAACATATTGCCAGAAAGTTTGAAATTAGTACAACATCACATTGTAGATTCAGGTAAGTAAGTTTGATAACACTTACATATTGTTGGGAATTTCATGCCAATGTATAATTTTATCAGGTGCCAAAGATGAAAAAGCCTGCACTGAAGGTAGCTTTGGTGCCAGATAATGCTGGGAAGCCTACGGTGAAACTAGAGAAAGTTGTTGTCCAGGATGGAACCTGATCATGGGAGAATCCGATTTTTGAATCAGTAAAATTTGTTAGGGACGTAAAATCAGGAAAACTTCAAGAGAAAATCTACCATTTTGTTGTTTCAACCGTAAGCAGTGGATTTAATTGCATACTATCCTTTACCTGGCTAAGATGTTGGCTGGAAAGCCTAATCATAATAGGTTCTTGCAGGGATCTTCAAAATCTGGCTTTCTTGGAGAATCCTCCATTGACTTTGCTGATTTTGCTGCAGAAACTGAGCCACTGACTGTGTCCCTACCTCTGAAGTTTGCCAATTCAGGCGCAATCCTACATGTTGGTACCTTCTATTCCCCTCTCCACCTGGTTTCTTATGTCCCTCATATCATGCACATGATTACTCATCTTTCAAAATCTCATATTCATCAAACCCTTTTTTTTTTTCATTCTTATTCCATATTATTTAAAATTCCTCAAATAACAAATGTTGAGACAGGTGACAATTCAGAACGTGGAAGGAGTACAAAGAGATCAAAGGTGAAGATGAACCATGCAGCCAGTTAATTTATCTCTATAAATTTCCTTTTGTTGCAGGGTTTCATTCCTCTCCTTGTTATTTACCTGTTGCAGTACTTTCAGAAATGGGGAAGATTATGGAAATGGAAGCTCAAGACACCTACTGAGCATTTGCAGTGCAGATGAAATTTCTCGTAATGTTTATGAAGTAAGGTTCTACATGATACTGTGACTTTATACAGCTAGCAATTTTTATTGTACAAAGTTGGAAATTTCTAAACAGATCACGAGGATAAATTAAGAAAATAAATAATCTATATTATAAAATTTCTGAAATTATTAATATTTTTAAGGGATGGAACACTGACTTTTACCGTATCTAATGGCGTCACTCCTGTGGTAACTCTGGCAGGATTTCCCCAAGCTATTACCACCCTTGAGGCAAAATTCAATGCCGTGCAAAGGAACTATTGAGGCCATTGCAACAAGAGCTCAAATGCATAGGGGGTCACTGGGTTCAGCATCAGATAGGAGTTTAGGCGACTCCTGGAGAAACAGCCTGGAAGAAACTCATCCTCAAGAAGGATTACAAGAACCTTCAGATAATGTCATTGAACACCTCAGAAGTGAAATTGCTTCTCTGAAGAGGAAAGCCGAAGAATCAGAACTAGAGTTACAATCGCTTCAGAAGCTGATGGAGAAGGAATGTAGCCGAGGACAAAGCATGTCAAGGCAAATAATCAGCCTCAGAGACGAGAGAAATATGATCAAAACTAAATATGAGCAACTAATGTCGCAGCAAAATCTCATTAACGAGACCAAAAATTCAAAAGCCTTACAGACTGAGATTGAACAAGAGAGGCAGCAGTTAGAAGCAATAAAAGAAGAGCTTTCTTATGAAAAAGAGTTTAGTTCTAATCTTAAATTGCAACTCCAGAAGACACAAAACTCAAACTCCGAACTACTTTTAGCAGTTAGGGAACTTGAAGCAATGCTGGAACGTAAGAATAAGGAATTGTTGGACAATACTAAAGAGCATGATGATGCCACAGAATTAGGTCACTTGAAGCAGAAAATTGCAGAACTGAATGGTGAAATAGACATTTGTTATAAGCAACGTGATGAGCTAAATGAGCAAATAAAAGAGCTCAACTTTGAGTGTGAGCGTCTAAAGAAAGAAAACCTGGATATCTCTTTGAGATTAAACCATAAAGAAGCACAACAAATTGCGTTACAAAATAAATATTCAGCTTCTTTGGCAACTATAAAACAACTTGAATCTCAAGTACAGGGATTAGAAGAAAAGATAGGGAAGCAGGTGGATGATTTTTCAGGGTCTTTGATTTACATCAATGAGCTTGAAAATCAAGTCGGTGATTTGAAGAGAGAAATGAAAATACAAGAAGAGGATTATCAAAAAGATTTCCAAGCCATGAAATGTGCAAAACTTGAACAGGAAGAACGGGCCATCCAAGCAGAGGAGACATTGATAAGGACTAGACACAACAATGATCTCGAATGTCAGCGTTTTCAGGATGAATATCGAAGTCTTTCAGCTGAAATGACATTGAAAGTAGAAGAAAACGAAAAGAAGGTACTGGAAGCTTATGCTGAAGCTGATGAATTGCAGAAGCAGAAAAAACTCATGGAAGAAATTCTCCAGAAATGCAATGAAGAGCTCAGGCTTGTTACAAACCAGAATGAATTGAAACTTCAACAGCTCTTGAACCAAATAGATTCAAAAGAAAAGAAAGTGGAAATGATGTCTCAAGAACTAGAGATTAAGTCCAAGCAACTGGAAGATGTACAAAGGAAAAGGGATGAAAAGGATAAGGCATTAACAAAGCAAATTCAATTGCTCAGAATTGAAATTAGAAAGCTGATGCTAGAAGAGCATGCATTATCTAAAGCTGATCCAACAGAGCTCATGACTAGGATGTTAATGCAAGAGAACAATGATGAGGAGATAAGGTTTGACAACCTAACGGCAGCATTAGAAATCTTTAAGACCCAGCACAATGAATTGAAACATAACTTGCACGTGGAACAAACAGAGAAAGAAAATATGAAGGAAAAAATATCTCAATTAGAAGGAGAGCTGAAGAAGAAGGTAGAAGAACTAAGTGCTGTAGAAAAGAGGCTCAAAAATAGCAAAGGAGCAACGGCCAAAAGTATGAATTTGGCTTCATGGAACTACGAGAGTGCTGCGTCTTGTTCATCCACTAAGGAACACGATAACAAGTCAAGATCGGAAATGCAGATGGTAATTTTCCAGCTCCTTTGCTAAAATTTATAATTAAGAAAGTTAGTGCCACTATCACATATTAGGACACGTTACAAGTTATCACAAACACCCCCTTACGAGTACTCTATACAGTAGAGAATATTGAGTAATCTAGTTAGGACATAGGACCAAGCAGATTGATTGGCAATATTATCTGAAATTATGCACTATTTATAATTTGCAACAAACCAATGAATTATCTTTTTCAGGGCATGTTATAAAGTTTTAATACACCACAGCAAACATTTGACCCGAACACGACAGATGCTGAAAAAAATCGTAAGAGAAACACATTAGTCAGTTTTGTCATACTTAATGCTTTGGGAATGATAATGACATTTTTCAGTTCTTGATAATATTATTAGAAAGCATGATCAACAAGTTGAAGATATGGGTGATGGACTCATATTATGGGACACCACCACACAAGTAGTTAAGTCATAGGGCAATACTTTAGCTGTTTGATGCCCAGTACACCAGGCTAAAAATTATGTGCTATCTGCCAATTGATAATTGGAAAATTTTACTGCAATACAATTTGTCTGGTACATTTTGCAAGGAATGGCGTTGGCGAAATGAAGGAGTAGGGATCATTAACAGTCTTTTTCTCTTTTTTGTATTGTGAAGACAATTTTTTCCCCTGGTTAAGTAGGTAATAAAAATTGAGTTGTGTTGTTCCTCGATCTTTTTTTCTGTATAAGACTTGAACTATTTTGAAGAACAACAAATTACAATCTTTATGCTGCGATCCCATCCCTTAAATTTTAGCAAAAAACAAATCTTAAAACGTAAAACTCTGCTAAAAGAAATGTCCAATTAGCCAGACTTTTGGTCCAAAACTAAGTCATCTTTCCCTTTTCCTATCCATGTGGTTTGATCTAATGTGACAAAAAAGAAGAGGAAAGAAAGAGAACATGTAATTAGAGTTTACTTTGGTTTTGATTTGCGCATATTAGCAGTTAATGACTTGATGATCTACAATAACTTGGGATATTGTTATATATGTAACAAAAAGGGAATGGATGATGCAAAGACCCCTGTTCGAAAGTGTGAAAAAGGAAGAACCATATGCAATTCAGCCGAGAACGAAGTTCATCTAGCTTCACACGGAAGGTAAAAGACAAATGCTTGTTCTGCCATATGAGTCCGTAGTCCCCTTGAGTTACACCCACTAACCTTCTTATCATTTATTAACAATGTAACAGAAAAGTGGTGCTTCAGGCTCAGATATCAAATTTATAGTACAGTCATCTAACCCTGGATTTATTTCTATTCCTCTTTTACACTGACAGCGAAGTGAAAACTTTCTTGGAAAATAAGGCTATTGTCTTCAATTATGATGATGCTGGTGATTGTCCTACAAATGAGTTGTTGGATGAAGTGACAGTACTAAAGGAAAGGAACAAATATATGGAAACTCAGCTGAAAGAAATGGAAGAAAGATATTCTGATATTAGTCTTAAGTTCGCAGAGGTGGAGGGAGAAAGACAACAGCTTGTTATGGCCCTACGGAATATGAGGAATGGTAAGAACTAGAATTCTTTACATGCGTTATTACTCATTCATGAATTACACGAGTTATGAAATAGACAGGTCATCACGGTCGTATTGGTCAAATTCAAATCGAGCTTAACCCGTGTGTTTCACTTCAGTATAATCACCATTTAAACCTCCTCCAATTTAAATTTGCTGGCCTGTCAGCTTAGTTCGATATTTCTGGTTGATTGATTCATTGAATTGACAAAGGTGGCTATGCGTTGGGGCATCAGATAGGCTATCTAGAAAATGGATTATCATCGTGTCATCATTTATTTGAACAATTTTGGGTTACATGTATTGCAAACATTATAGCCGATAAACAAGGCTATGATTCTCAGATGAAACATTTTATTGAAAATGTTAAAGATCAAGAGCAAAACCGCTACTGAATCTTGGAATACCTATTATCTAGATGAGCTACTTGTGCTTTTCAAAAGTTGTTCGCTATTTTCTGGAGCTCCGATTTTAATATTTTTTCAATGATTAAAAAGGCAAGTGGGTTGTTTTGTTCATACAAAAACACTACAGAGTTTTTTTTCCTTTTTTTTTTTTAATTCTGGCAAAAATACAAAAGGAAGCACTAACAATATGAAATGCAATTTTTATTTTTTTAGATAGAAGTAAGACAATATGAAACTAAATGAAACCATAATGTTAGAATTAAAATTCCCTAATCCGGTTCTTAGATCGTACATCGATCATCATATGATATCTCCATTCGCTCCAAACATAGATTATCCAGTACGGTATCTAACTCCCTATTCTTATCCCGAACTCCATTTTCATCACGGGAAACCATTGGCTTCAACTTTCATCGATATTAGAAGTCAGTCATTACCATAGTCCATTGAGTCATTGTAGAATAGTATAGAATAGATGACCTATGCCATATCAAGAAAGGATCAGAATCAGATGTTTGTCAGTATGAGGAGATTAACCTGAGTACTGAGACCTATGTTGTTTGAGAATTACTTCGCAATCATGGTTTAAAGTAAAATACCTTTCATATGGTTAAGGCCACCGTCATATATAATCTAAATCCTCACTCTTTTCACCGATGATGATTATTGTGTCTGGAATGAGTTTATCTTTTTATCACTCCAGACCAGCCTTGTTTGACCTCCACTTCCGTTCCTCCCAAAAGTCAGTGTCTGCCAACGACCGAAGGTCCGTGAATAATAATAGGGTAGAAGCAAAGTTATACCATTGAATCAAATATAGGAGGGACACACGAAGCGGAATGGGTTTACCATTCCAAGTATCAATTAATTATTATAAAAAAAATAATTTCTTATTCTTAAAACAGGATGAGACGTAACTCTGATGCAATTTTTTCATGAGTAAAAATCTCACTTTTATCGCAGACTCGGATTCTCTACTTCAGAAAAAGACACATCAAGTAGTAGTATGTTCAGTGACATATAATCCTTGACCTAAGATATTGATGTGTAACACTAAGAGTGAAGAGAAAATAAGTATAAATCCACCTACAGTGAATAACTAAAAATGAACGGAGACTATCTCTTCTCAGAACTACCCACCAATATAAATTTACGCATTTTATGCAATCAATGGCACATTGAAAACAAGATAAGATGAACAAGAATGAATGATAAATTATATCCCATTTCTATCCCTCTTCTTTTTGCCGTATTTTCACTTTAATGAACATGAACGTAGAATATAAGCGTACATTTGTTGATCGCTTATCTTTTGGAGTCCATGAGGATGAGGAAGTAGAATATCTTCCTTTCTTGGTTGAGTTTGAAGAAAGTCCTGATTGTTTCTGTCTTTTCTGTTCCGGAACATTTCCAGATATTCTGCCAGGTTGGTACTTAAAAAAATCAATTGTAGAAGGACTTCTTCTCTTAAAAGCTTTGGACATGTTCCCAGGATACCCAAAATAAGGGCCAGAACTCTCAGATGATAATGATTTTTGACGCAATTTGCTCTTTTCCTTTACTTTATTGATAAATTCAGTTGTCCAGGGTGAATTCTTTAATAGACTAGCGGATCGGCGTGCAAATGAGAGTGGAGTTTCACTCAAATGCGACAGTTCTTCCTTGAATGGTGATTCTTCCAAATTTCTCACTGATGCCTGAGTTAAACCGATATTTCCATGAGACTTCAAATCAAGAGGAAAAACATTTTCTCCAAAATCTGGTTCGTGGAATTCGTCTACATCTCCTTGTGTATCTTTTAAAGATCTCCATATTTTAGATGAGTTGGTTTCTGGGTGACTACAATTATTAAATGACAATGTCCTTGCAATTTTATTCTTTCTCATAGGATCTTTCTCTGTTTCTGTTATCAAATTTGTGAAGTACACGGAATCAGGAATGTCAAAGCTTTTATCAAATAAGGGGCTGTCTGTCAAGTCGACCACCTCGCCTCTAACATCTTCATGCAGCTTCTGAGAATTACTAAGGCTATTCCAATTCACACTTTTTCCCATCAAATCAATATCCAGTATTTCATTTTGAGGCAAGTCTTTATTTTTCAAAGATAAACCGGGTTGTCTCAGTTGCTCTAATTTTGGGGGAGCTTTGCAGTTCCCTGGTGAATAGGAGACTCCAGAACGGATTCGCATCGTAGCCGCGTTGATGCTCTGCTTTTGATCAAAAAACTCACTCATGGATAAACTTGTCTTTGCAAACTCACTGGATCTCTCATCATTTTTTGGAATAACAAAATTGAAAAGTTTTGGCAAGGTAGAGGAATCAGGGGCAGCCTCAACTGCTGGATTTAGTGTCTCGAATTGCGTCAACTCATCACAACGCAGTTCATCCATATGATGACTACTTATAGAATGTTTTCTTTTTCTTTCATTTTGAACTTGATATAAACAACACCTATCTGAGTCCAGACCAGAAGATACCGAAGAGGAGCAATCTGTCATTATGGATTTTGAATCCTCCCGTTCCCCATATCTGCAGAAAACACTGAAAAGAGAGATACTTTCTTCTGGAACGTGATACTTTTCTAAAACATGCATCCTTTGCTCATGTGACCACGCAAGAAACTCATTAAGCATGACCCCTGAAGATAGTATAGAGTGTGCCGTTAAAGGATTTATTCCAGGAAATTCCGTAAGAAAAGACTCGGCAAGAGTTACCGAGTCAGGCATTTTAGGATACAGACCCCTTGTCGTATTCGTAGCAGTCTTAATGCAGCTTACAATAACTTCATTTGTCAATTCAGGCGAGTAAGAGAAGAATATCTGCAAATCAATTCCCAGGCTTGTTGCTGCAGCATAAAGTCCATCAGAGGATTCCATTACAGTTGAAAGGAAGTTAAATTCTCCTTCAAAGACCTGGAAAGAGAATATACAATATTCAAACAAGCTCAATGCATAAGTGATCAAGCTCAACTAACACTCACCATCACAACAACTCTCATATCTTAATTAATCGTATTTACGTTCATGATGACGCTTTTACTAGTAGTGCTTCATATCTCAATGTAATCATATTCTGAAAACTAATTTTATCTGCTACCTTGTACAAGAGCTTATATCTTACAAGCATGTAAAACAAAATAACGATGACTATGATTAAATTCCTTAATTCCTCTTTCCGCCCCGCAGGGGTTTATTTGAGAATGTTTTTACACCTAGAGACATCAATCTTCCGAAGGGCCCAGAAATTTCAAAAATGGAAAAGCCAAAGCCAGTTCCGAGTTCCGAGATTGACATACTTTCCCTCAAAAGGCTGTTCAAATAACTCCTAACAAAACTTCTAGAGCACTACTTGACATTGCAATATTTTACAGTGGCAGTTGAAATAAATAAATAAGTATCAAGTGTAATCAATATAAAAATTTGAAATTACCAGAAAGCAGCCATGGAAGTAAAAACTAAGCAAGGTTAGGACATCTGTGGCAATATTCTCAACACATAAAGGCAAGCTTGAGGATGCTTCAGTTGTTGGAGTTGCTTTCTTCCCAAGGTTTTCACTATCATACCATGCCAAGCAAACAGCAGAACTTAATATTATATCAGCGGGCAAATTTAAATCACGTTCAACGACTTGAATTCCTTCTTTCTCCATTGCCAGAATCACTTGGTAAGAGCTTCTTCTAGACATTATCATTTCCTTATCTACATTTTGAGTATTTACAATGATAACTGTTCCAGGGAGAGCCTCCATGTTCTTAAGACCTTGTTCGGTTTTCAAAGCAGGAATTAGTGGCACAATATGATCTACTTCAGGTGCAACATTTGAAGATATTTTGTCATAGCTTTGCTCCACAGGACAAAAATTCAGTAGTCTTTCCACGTTCTGATTCATCATACTTTCCTTATGATTGAAAATAGGACGAGTCTCACTTTCCTAGCAGACAATAGTTGCGAGTTGCATGAACGAGTTCTTTATATGATTACGTGATAACTGGTATACGATATAAGAACAACTAAGAGTAACAATAATTGATTCAGGTAATTCAGTATATATTGGTGAAGTAAGCCAAAGAATATTGGTGTCGGGTACTAAATATGGATACGTGAAACAAATTAAAATATCAGGGCATTTCAACATCAGTTGTCACAACTTCGATCACTATAATCAGAAATATGAAGTTACAGTCATCTGTCATTAAAACAAAAATTGTGACCTAAACTACCGACAACAATCATTTGAGAATCTAGTCTCTGATGTGACCTAAACAATGCTCATTTCAGAAATAAGCACCAACATAGCTGACGGTTAGTAATTTCAGGAACTAAAATGTTTGTAATTTAAAGATTAAATTAGATAATACTACTAATCTTAGAATTTGAGGTTGATCATTTCTTTTGCTTTTTTATCCCTTTGCTCTTAGTGTATTCTAAAGTATGTTGGATAAACACAGAAGCATGCTACTCTGATATCTTGTTAGGAACTGCAAACCCTACTTTGTGGAGAATCCTGGTCTATGTGAGGCCAATGAAAGAGCTACATTCTGAAAACACATGTAGTTGCGTTTGAGCATTTTCTTAATGTAGTAATAAAGAAATCAAAATATCAAAACATATTAATATGTTGTGTGATTCTTATTGAGTGAGAATGTTGGTTCTTGCTTTTCTGTAACACCACCAGACATTTTTTCCTCATAAATGAAATAGCTCTTTTAGAGAGAAAACACTTCCCTATATAGTTTTGATTGGCACGTAAGATTTAAAATATAATTTCGGAAACTTTATCCTTAATTTACATAATTAACATATAACCCTACTCATTTATGCTTGTACTTATTTACATCACAATACATGAGATACTTTACATTACACTGTAACGGTACAGAACATGTGCAAACAAAATTATATGGAATCAGGAACTTAGAGAAATAATTTCTGAATTTATTTGCAACGATGTACAGTATCTACAATATAGATTATATGCACATTATCATAATCAGGCTTACCAATAACATTTCAGTGTTTGGGTG